TTTTATCTCACTCTCATTTTCATTAATTCCTAATTGGGGTGGGGGGTTGTCTGTTATTATTTCTTAGATTAAAATAAACATAGCCTGTCCCATGTTCAAACCCATCACACTACACAGGCATGATAAGGACTTCATGCCTCTGTGAATAAATAAACAATTTCATCTCTACTGGTGGAATTAAGTTGCTTACAGCCTTAAGCTAAGCCACTCTGATTTATATTTATATTTATATATATTTATATTTATTTATCAAAAGACTTAAGACCACATCCTCGCTTTTGCAAATGAAGTTCACATTTTTTTGACCTGCTTTATATGTATATCTTTAATTAGATTCTTGTTTAGCTTAAACGGAATGATTATCGCATATTCGTGACCTAATTAGAGCACACAATTCTTAAAGCCAGTATTGTGCCCTAAGGAGCAACCAAAAGTTACCTTTAAAACTAGTGTAATCATTAGCAATGAGCCACCCTTAATCCCACTAAACATACACTTATCTAGCCTCGGCTGGTTAGTGTTTGCTGTGTGGGGGGAGGGGGTTGTGTTTATTAAAGACATTTATTAATCACTGTGGTTAAAACAAGTTTGTCCCTATGCTCTCAGTCTTTACTCGTGTTCTACAGAGATCCTGACAGCTAGCTATTGTGATGCTGGTCTTTTTTTTTGTAAACTGTGTTCTCTGTAGTCATCTGTGGCTTCGTGAAAAGTATGACCATAGTACAAATTTATTAAATGCTCATAAGCTTGAAAATTATACAACATATTCAAGCATATTTAAATACATACTGAATGCATGACTTTCATTCCTGAATATCTGTGCTACTTTTCGGTCCCCTTTAAACTATCCATCCACCCATCCATCAAACTCATTACATTTACCTGGTTCTTCCTTTCTGGGTCATGAAGTTGACTGTTGCCCACGTCCAGCAACGACTGTGCAAGAGGTGGGGTGCACCCTGGACAGGTCGTAAATCCATCACAGGGACACATAGGGACAAACGAGACCAACAACCATTCACTTTCTCACTCACACCTAGGGACAATTTAGAGTTACCAATCAGCCTAACAGGCATGTTTTTGATCTGTGGAAGGAAACCGGAGTACCCGGAGAAAACTCACACATGCACGGAGAGAATGTGCAAACTCCACCTGGAAACTTCCCAGGCTGGGATTTGATCTGGCAACCTTCTCGCTGAGAGGCAACAGCTCTATAACTGAGCCACCATGAAACTTGTAAAAAAACATACATTTATTTATTCTTTGAAATAATGCAAGTTGAAATACAAAGTTTGTTTTTGTTTAGGTACCGTGAAATCAGATTTTTTTTTTAACAAACTTCTAACGATCAACTAGTTTCCCTTATAATTCATGTCTTTAATATACTAACCCATTCATAGGTCCACAAATCTAAAGTGATTCATTGTGAAAACTATATAAAAATAGTCAATGATTACTTAAGACGCATGGAATGTATGTCAGAAGAAAAATAAAACAGAGAAAAAATATATAAAGGTTTACAATTCCTGTTATAATATGAACTCTTACCTGAAGATGGTGAGGAGGGATGTGGGCTGTCATCTTGGATGCTTCCTGTCTGGGATTGTCCTCCCCCAGCTCCACTCTCCTCTGTCACATTGGATGAACCAGGGGTGGTGGAGCGGCTGATGGACTGGGACTCGGGGTCACTGGCTGAGCCACGGCGTTCATCGAGTCCTTGCTGGTTTGCGTCATCGGTGCCTCTTCTCTCTTTGCCATGTATTCGGGAATGAACAATCATTTGATGGTATGTTCTAAAAATGCGGCCACAGTCAGGGCACTCTGAAGGCTTGTCCTTCAGGCTTGACAGACTGGAAAGGCTGAAGTCAATGTTGGAGCTTCCTAAGCCTGCCAATGCTCCAGAGGCCTCAGTACTACCATGATGTAACAATACATCACGATGAGTTTCAAAGCCTTTTCCGTCCTCTTTCATTGGTATTATGACTCCACTAGAGGCTTTACACACCTGTAAGCCTTCAGAGAGCTGTTTCTGCTTGGAACTATCACTGGCAGGGATCAAGGAATAATCTTGCTTTTCTTTTGAATAGGAAGCCAAGGCCCCTGTACCACTCATCTCATCTTCCTGTCCTGGAGTTATATGGGGCTGGTGCTGCTGTTGATCTTTAGGCATGAAAGCCCTGTCCATAGCCATACCACGTGCCATTATCTGCCAGGCTTGGTAGCTGTTAAGAGAATCCATTTCTGCAACCTTTGCAGCAGCCTGGAGGCGCTCCATACAGCTGGATTTAAGGGGTGGTACAAGATTGAGACATCCAAGGAGTGAGCGCTTTTCATTTTCACCAAGCCCATGACCCATACTTCCAGCCATTGGTCCAAGCAGTTTTCCTAACATCTCCTTTTCTTTCATGACAATCCCTGCTTTAGCTAACATCTGATGTTGCTCATTGAGGCTTTGTTTATCTGGTGAAAGAAAACCCCCTTGAAGACAGGAGATATAGCGAGAATACAGGTTGGCATGAGCTTCTTGAGCCAGACTGCTCATGCTATTGATGGCAGCCATGTCCTGCTCACTTGGCTGGGGTGGCTTGCTCTTAATGGCCAGTTTGTTCAGATGCACTTTCATATGGTTCTTCAGAAACCAGGGTTCTTTGAAGCGACGGCCACAAATTTGGCAGCAATGTTCAAAAGAGTCCTTGTGCTTTCGCATGTGACCTTTGAGGAACCAAGCTTGGCTGAATACCTGGCCACACACGTCACAACGAAATTCAGTAGTGGTCTGCATGCCTCCAGCTCCACCACCACCCTGTCCCTGTGTAGTTTCAGCTGTGATGTGGGCCTTCTCAACATGACTTATCAAATCTTCTTCATGAGAGGCAGCAAATTCACACAGAGTACATTTGTAGGGCTTGTGGAGAATTCGAATGTGGCGGTCAAGTTCTTCACGTTTCTTGAACTTCCCTTTGCAGAATGTACAGCGGAAACCAGTAGCTTGGTTCAGGGATGGTTCATCTTGACTGGCTGATTTTGGTGAAGAAGAGGGTTGAGAGAGTGTTTCTGGAGTTGCTAGGCCAGATGGGGGTAGGGGGGCACAAGTTGACCCTATTAGCTGATTATGAGTGTTAGAACTGTTGTTGAGAACGAGATGGGGTGTTTGAGGTGTCTGAAGGAGACTTCCACTCCCTCTCATCTGCTTATCCCTCAATATGGCTCTCTCTTCAAGCTCATGTAGCAGCCTGTTCTCCTCTCGAACACGGCCCCGGCCCTTACCAAGATTCCCAAGCTTGTGAGTGCGGAGGTGGATTTTCAGATTACCCTTCTGAGCTGCTCTGTGGTCACAGTAGGGACACTTGAATGGTTTCTCACCTGTGTGAGTGCGCATGTGCAGTGACAGGATGCTGTTAAAGCGGAAGCGTTTGCCACATAATGGACAGGGGTATTTCCTATTCTTGCGAGCATCATCTTCAATGTCATTCATTTGGGACATGATGCCCAAGTTCTGACCATTGAGGAACTGCTGAAGGTCAACACGTCCATTCAGCCCACTTAGTGCCCCTGCATCAATATCTCGGTTGAGCTGATTAGCGAGCAGGGCCATCTGACTGCTAATAGGTTGACTGGCCAGGGCTGCGTGATGCGTCTTCTCATCCAAAGGAGTGGCTGCCTTCTCTTCAGGAATTTGTTGTGGGCGATGTAGGTCAGGAAAGGCGTGTCCTAGCTGAGCAGTTAGTTGGTGAAGCTTCTGACTGATAGGGTATCGGCCATTCAGCACTGCACTGCTTAGATGTGCATCGGTGTCTGGCACCGCTGATGATACACCAAGACATAAACTCGAGTCATCCATCCTGTGAAAACATAAAAAAGAAACCTTTTAGATATTATTAAGTTATTTGTTAAAAATCACATTTCCTCTAAGCACACACTGTCTTGATATGTTTTGGTTATCCAACCACATCAGGATAAATACATTACTTGAGTTGAGGACTCAAAGCCAATATTCTGTTACCTTCTGCACAGCCAAAGCAATATTTTTGATGCAATGACCAATATGTAAATTTTCAGCATCAAAGCTTTTATGATTGTTGTGTTTCCTATTATTTATTTATTTATTTTCTAAATGTAAAACCATATTGTTGGAATATAATATATGGTATATGGTGTAATTACTTTGTAAACAGCGAGCAGTGTATAATTATTCTACTTGGGCCCATCCTATCAGAATTCCCCCAATTACACACGTTAATGAAATAGAGCAACTTCATTGTTGAGAAGCCACCTTAATGCTGCAATTATGGTATTTCAATAGTGCTTAAAGTCAAAGAGTTACTCCAGTGTACACAACATTCTTATCATGGCTTCATAACACTTGTCGTGGCATAATAATTAATTTCACAGCATTACTGCATTTGATGTGAATCTTCATGTTCTCCCAATGAGAGTTTCTACTTACACAATCTTCTCTCTGACTGCTCTTTTCTCTACCTGACGGTTTTACTCTCAGTTTTCCAGGACTGAAAAAAAATCTAAAGTTTAAAGTATAACTGACTGTTTTGACATGACTTATAACACATCTAAAAATCCATCAAACTATATAAAATTGAAAGGAAAAAAAAAAAACAAGATCACATTGTGAAGTTTGAGAGGAAGTTAAGCATATGCTAGTAGGATTACTCACAGTGTTATGGATTGAGTAACATATTTTAAAGTGAACTACGCATTTTTACAAGAGATGGAGCATGACCAAACTTAAAAATAAATAACTTTTTATTAGAATCTAGATTTGGGATCTCATGACGGTGTTTTCAGTCTTGGCAGATATAGCCAATCTTTTATTCAATTTGTTTGGGCTGTTCTCTGCACTGTAAGCCACAAAATTAATTTGTAGGCACTAAATTGCTGTACTTCTATTAAAACATATCCCCCTTTTTCTTTTGTGTTGTAGTATTGTTCAAAGTGTTTTCATTCCATATGCGTAACATGAGTGGATAAAAAATTAAAAAAAGAACAACACTGGTTTTAATGCAGATCCATCTGCTCTCCAGATGGAGAGGTATAAAGATCTATTTGCACATTTCCTGGCTGCTTACAGGGGTCAAACCCTCAGAAACAATAGCCATAGTTCTGCTTTGGTCTACAAAATAGTGTATAATATCTCATTAAACTGATTTGCATAATGCTTGGTAACAGTGGTTGCCACCAAACTGAAGTTTATGATTCCAATCATCAAAAAAACTTTTCAAAGCAGTGTACCGAACTAGAATCAAATAAGTTTGCCGTGAAGACAAAAAATAAAAATAAAGAAGAAGCCATTAGATGAAGTCTAGCATCAGTAAGGCACATCCACATCGGAGATGTTCACACATGATCAGTGTATACTTTAAAGACACAAACTGCACCTTACATGGCAAAACTTTGTCTTTTGCATTGTCTATACCCACTATATATTTTTGAAGAATGGCAAACTCTTCGTTTGTCGTGCTTGACGTGCTTATTTGAAAATATTCTTTCTTTTTGTGTCCCTGCCCTCAGTGGGAGGTTAACAGACATAAGAAGTGCCTGTTCGGGTAGTCACTGGCCCCTCCAACACACTGTTGATGGTGGATTCTTATCTCGAGACATGAATTACTTACTGTGACCAGTTTCCACTTGTGTGTAAAGGAATGTGACACTTGTGGGCTGCCCTTTGAATTCTTCTTATTTCTCCCCACAAGTATCATAAAGCAATTCCACTGAATTCATCAAGAATATAATGGGTATGCTATGTTCTGCCAGCTTATGTGTAACAGTCAGATATGCTTCTTTCAAAGGCTGCTTAAATTTACAACAGATCTTATGATTGTGTTCATTTTCTCATGTAACTTGAATCATGCTTTACTTATCTTGAAAGTACATCTATGTAAAAGCTTAATAAGAATGTGCTCTGTATATACATTTGCTCTCATGCACACACATACACTCATTTATACATTTTATATACAGTATATACACACACATATATATATATATATATA